AGCCGATGAAACACTGTCTCGAGTGTTTGATATATCTTCTAATCGAAAGAAAAACTAAGGAGTAAACGGAGAAGTAAAATCGTCAAAATCCATGCTAATTAAGACCGGGTATACAAACCTCCTTCATGGTTGTGATTTTCTTTGTTTTAACTTGGTGAATTATTAATGAGTTTGAGAAGGTGGGAGTAAAAACTTACCCTCTGCCTCTCCTCTGACAATGTGTCAATTTGTACCTCCAGTTCGTCAGCACTGGTCTGAAGCTGTTGGCATGTTGTCTGTTTTTCCTCCAAATCGCGGCTCACAGACATCTGTTTCTCACGTAACACTTGGATATCTACAAACAAGGCAAACACAGTTACTCACATTGAGAGATACGATGACATAGTCTGTGTAAAGGACTTAAGATCCGAGTTCCCAGTCTATTGTTCAAACAACAGACATCTGAAAAGAAAGCGATTCTGGACTTTTAAAGTCAATTTGCATTAAACCAAAGCTTGAAAGATCTGGTTTCTAGAACATTGCAATTTCCATCACAAATTCACGGTTAATCAGCTCCCAGAGATTACCATATTTCAGTGGCATGGTAAAGCGCTATGCAAACCACAGAATAAGAAACATTCCAGTGAATGAAAAATCCAGCAATTTACAAATTTCCCTTTTTAATACAAATATTTCCTGCTAGTGGATAGGGACTTATTCTATGATAATTACAGTGATCTGTTCCTTTGGGTTCCGGTTGTGTTTTTAGCAAAACACTTACATTTTACTACAGAAGTATGATGGAGTAGACAGAATGCTCATCAAAAATGTAGTCTAAAAAGGGAGAAAGAAGTCTAAAAGGGAGAGAAGCGCGCTCCACGTCCGCGCAGAATCACGCGGGCGCGAATACCTCGTGTACTTCGCTTGCAATTTTGGAGAACATGGCAAACTGCATATCTGCGTTTAATCCCGAGTACAGTACTTACCAGTGTCACAAGCATTAGCGTCCTGGTTCGTCTGCTTGATTTTCTTTTTCATTTCAGCGAGTTTCTTCTGGAAAGAACCTTTCGTGTTCGACACTTTACCCATCTTTGCCTGAGCATCTCCACTAAGGAAAAATGAAAAGGAATCTCGTCAAACTGATTGATCTGTCCTAGCGGTAACTAGGACAAGAACGATGAAATAAGAGAAGGTCTTAGGTTGTTTACCATGTTAACGGAGAAACCGGTTCGTCAACGGTTTGCGCAAATGGTAAGCAAAAATACCTAATGGTAAGTTCCGTTCGGATTGGCCATTTACCCCAATTTACCGAAAGTAACTAGGACGAGCTCGAGCTCCAAGATGGCGGAGAAGAATTGCAAATGATAAGGACGGAAAGCACATTTTCCACCCGGATATTTGCCCCGTATTTGGGTTGGAAACTTTGGACTACCTTTCAAGACGTTCCCTTTCTTCCGAAAATTTTCCGGTCGGTCGAGCCAAAAATGGCTTACCATTTACATTTTGACCGAAATTTCCGGAATTTTTTGGTAACTGGTAAACAATCTTAATGAGGGCTCACCAAAGTGGTTAAGTGTGGTCTATTGGTTATATGTTTTCCCGCGCTGGTCGCCATTTGGTATGTTTTCCCGCTCTGGTCGCCGTTTAGCATGTTCTCCCGCACTTGCCGCTGGTTTCCTGTTTTTACCCACTTGTCGTCGGCTGGCATGACCGTCTGTTACATGTTTTCCCGCGCTTGTCGCCGGGTTAGCATGTTTTCCCGCGCTTACCGCTGGTTTCATGTTGGCATGACCGTCGGTTGCATGTTTTTGCCTCGAGCTCTGAGATGTTCATTTTTTGGTCTTAGATTCACGACACTCATACTGTTAATTAAAATCTTCGCTCTAAAACATTCACTCACCGGGTGATAATGACCTCCCTTCGAACAACAGACTTCTCCATATCTTGTATCATCTTCTCTTGTTGCCTCATCAGCTGCGAGTAACGAACCTGACCACAAACAAACCTGCTGTCAGCGCATGTCTCATAACGTTTCTAAATAATTAAAGGAGCTACGTCAAGGTTTGCGCATCTTGAAAAATTAAGCCCAAATTTTTCAAGATCGTCGTTCGTAATCCGCGTTACTCTTCTCCATCCTTAACCATCCTTGCCTCTTTATGGTTTATTATTATCTCTTACGTGTTTTTCTATCTTTAGTTATCTTTCCTTCTATTTAACAATTAGATTATGAGCTCGAGATTTCTATGAGGGGATAGTTGATGAGGCCGTAGGCCGAATCAACTATCGCCTCATAGAAATCGAGAGCGAATAATCTAATTGTTTTAGTAGAATTCTAACTTAAATTATCGCAAATAATGGTTTCCAAATATTTTTCGACGCATCATTGAACTTTACGCTTTAACAAAATCGCACGTATTGAATCGTCCTTGGGAAATTTGCAGTTGTTTACGCGCGCGCACCGGTTTTTCAATAGTTTCAAGTTTTTAAAGTCAAGAAACCGTTAATGCCCTTCTTTCAGTCTTCTCAGGAATTTAATTAACGATTTACATCCAAACTTCCTTCCAAAACTTCGGAAAAACGACAGAAACGTCGCATTTCGTGGACGACCGACAGTTTAATACTGCATTCTAATGGCTGATAGTATACGAGTAGCTCAGCCAATCAGATTGCAGCATTTGCATTAGTGTATTAGTAGAATTCTACTAACTTTAATTAGTAAACTACTATTTTCAGGTTTCCTTCAATTGGAAGGTAATTTTGTACGTGGCCAAAATGTGACTACTGTGACTGAGTCTCTCTTAAGCAACGCACATGATCAGAAAAGGAACCCAAAGGGACTGAAACACAGGCGAGAGGACGAAAAAACTTTGTTACAGTATTTGTATTTGAGATACAACTGTTAGAACAAGCACAGTATGTTGACGTCATTCCGCGCGCTCTACGTCAAAGAATAGATTTTGCGCGTGCCGGAGTTCTGTTATTCAATAACACTTTTTTTTACTGGTTGACAAGCCGTGAGTCTTAACAGTTTCTGGCTAAATGGTCTCTAGCTCAAAACTGAAGGGCAATAACAGTATAAACAAAAAAAAAAACTCACCAAAAAGTTACAAAACTGAAATCAAAACTTTCCGGCCCAGTGGCCCGTTTCTCGAAGGTCCCGAAAGTTTTCGCACCTGGAAAGCCGTAGCAAAATCTCAAACCCTATGATTACAAAGCTGTTTTATTCACGTATTCTTAATATGAACAGAAGTTCTCTTCATAAAGAAGTTTCAGGCGTATACACCTCTCTGTTTTTAAATACAGATTACCTGAAAATGGCCTCGTGGGCCCAAAACGTTTCCGGGGCTTTCGAAAAACGGGCACCGACTGGAGCTTTAAACTCCTTTACAACCAAACGTGCCCTGACTGACCTGCATTCTATGTATCTCAGCTTTCATGGCTCTTATCTCTCCTTGGCCGTACTCTAGGTCAACAGCACTCTTCGCTTCACGGGCCAATTGTGTCTTCTTCTCCCACAGCATGATTTGGCGCCTGGAAAAAGGCAACGAGGTCAAATATCAGATTATTTTATGAACTAGCCAAGCAGAGCAGCGCAGTGATATGTCAGTGACATAGCTACCGAGAAGGACGTGTCACGTGTGATCATAAGGAGTTTAGGTCCCGTCAAAACTACACTGGAGAAATTCGAAATCGCAGCTTTATTTCTCCGGTTAGGCCTGCCGTTCACCCTAATTCGTCACGAAAACGGAGCTTTTCGAAAACGCTCTTCAAACCGGAAGAATTTGAAAACGCCGGCTTTTTGTTTTCGTATGGACGGAAAACATTTTGAAAACGAATCTTTTCGAAAACGATGACGTCACGACAATCATGATATTCCCTTACCCGAGGTGTACGCGAACACAAATCCAACATGACCGGTGATTGGTGCGTTTTCAAATTCCTCCGACCTAGTGTGGACGTAAAACATTTGACGCGTTTTCAGAGTGAAACTCCTTCGGCGTAGTGTGTACGGGACCTGAGTAACCACGACAGGGACGAGGAACACGTCGATACAAAAATAATTAAATATTTTTTACCAACGAATCTCGCGGTACTCTAAAGTCATTTGCTTTATTTTTCACTGTCAAAACTATCACGAAACTGAATCTGGAACACAGCAATAAATTTGAAATAAAAATTTAAAAAATTAGCCGTCGTGGTCACGTTCTCCAGACAACGCAGAATTCACGTTTTTGTTTTGAAGAAGACGGCAAAGAAATGTACCAAGAATTATAACGCACGTGCACAGCCATTGTCCTGCTCATTAAATCTTTTGTTTACTCACTCAGCCTCCACCAAACTGTTGAGCAGTCTTTCCTTCTCCTCCTTCAGCGCGTCAATTTGATTCTGCATGTTGATTGATTCCCCCTCTGCTTCCTAACACGAAAAAACACGAAAGAGTGTAGAAAACATGAATGTACTTGAACTACTTTAAGAAGAGATTAAACGTTTTAGGTTAGTCTGTTCAATATTGTTGCTGGAATTATGGGATCTTTTGATCAATCGTTCCATCCGAAAATGGTTGCAAAAGTGTCTTATTGTGAAACCTGAAACAAATAGACCGTTTCAGCCAAGCGTGATGCAGTTAAAAACCTTTTTAAATCACACCAACCGAGAACAGTTTTTTCACATAAAAACAAAAGGAACCGGTCAAAACCTGGCTGAGCTTATCCTAACAGAACACGGGCTAAGATGTCGCGTGCTATGGGAACTCTACACATTCTTTGTCGACGCTTTTGGCCATATTTCTCTTGATATTTCCAACTTTTTAAACAATCAAACAACGAACAGCTGCAGGCGCACACGCTCAATGTTTTATTGGCAAGATTGACAGGACACAATTTGATGGCTTGGGCAGGAAACGGTAAAGCCAGACATAAGATGTAAAAATTTATCAATGTGTTAGCTTCAGAGAGAGCATTATATAAAATGTTTTTAGACAAGTGCTCTTTTACCTTGAGCGCCTGAATGAAGTCGCTCTCCATCAGAACAGTTCCCTGTTGTAAGGCTTCTCTCAGACCACTCTCCTTAGTAATCAGCGTGTTTAATTTGGTCATGTCGTTCTGCATGCTCCTGATGTTCCGCTCGATATCTTGCATTTCGCTATTGTGCGAGTTGATTTCACCTGTAATTAAAGGAAAACAAGGGTTATACAGTTAGAGTTACCTGTAAAAAGGAAGAATCTGTTTGGGAATGAGCATCTTTCAAAGTTATCCAGAGCAAAACATGTTTCTTTTTGTCCCTTGAGCGTTCTCTGAGTTCGTTAAGATCCCAGATCATTCGATGATAAACAAGAAATAAAGCTGATTTCCAGGACAAGATAAGAAACTATTTGTGCTGAAGCCGATCGAGAATATAGCTAAACATTCTCGTAAACAGGTAGGCCATCGCGTATTTTATATGGCCTTGGCATATGAGGGCGATAACCAATAATGCATCAAAGGGTAAGCTTTTTCACATTAGTTTGGACAGGACCTCGAGCAGCCCGTATATTCCTTTGGTTCATCGAGTGAGATACCAAACAAACCAAAAGGAAAATATAATTTTTTTGCTCTCCCTTAATTTTTTCGTGCCCCGAGGGAAAAATTGCTCGTAAGGTCTCAGTTCACACTAGCGACATAACGTCAAACGACATAACGACATAATAGCTTATGTCGCAATGTGAACATCGACCTAGAGGTATGAAGGAAAAGATCAATTTTTTCCTTATGTCGTTATGTTCTTGCTGTTATGTTGCTAAATATGTTATTATGTCAGGATGTTCACAATACAAACAATATCGACAGAACGTCCTTGTTATGTCGTTGTGTTTATGTCGTTTTTGTCACTAGTGTGAACTAAGCCTGACTTCTAGGTAAAAAAAAATCTGCCACAAACCTTCGATCCTCAGTTTCTTTTGTAATAAGATGGTGTATTGTTTTTTGAGATACTCCATGTCTTCAGACTGCTTTTGTACATCCTTCAAGGTCTTCACCAATTCGCTTTGATTTCTGAGCCAGAACTGCTGTAATCCGGTGATTTCATTCAAGCGAGCCTCGATCTGTTTTTGCAATGTATGGATCTGTAGCTCTAGTGGTCCAAGCTCCTCTCCCTAACAAAGACGAAAAAACAATAAGTCCGAGATTACATAGTAAGATATGAATTCTCCAAAGCAATTGGCGTAAATGTATTCTAATGTTTGGATTGAAAATGAAACTTATACATAAACAGTAGCCTCCATTTGGCGCGAAAATATACTCGGATAATTGCCCGCGGACATTATCTGTTTCGAGAAGCGAACAGTTTTCCGAGAGCGTAGCTCGAGGAAAACTGAGAGCTTTATAAATTTATACGTAAGTTTTGAATTTAATTTTTTTAAATAAAGACCATTACTAGTGAACATAAAATACCTGGCAAAGATCTTTCTGATATCATTCGATTCAGGAGATGAACTGGAAAGTGCAAAGTTTTCAGTTTTCGTGCAAAGTTTTCAGTTTTCCTGCAAACTTTGATTGGGTTACAAGCTACTCTACTAACTAAACTTCTATACATGGGCTATATAGCTTACAAACTTTTTACACCAATTTATACATAGAAGATTCGTCACATACCCCATCTTTGCTTCTCATTTGATCAATTCTCTTATTATACTGGTCAATGGTGCTCTGTTTTCTTTCGATGATGGCGTTCCGCTTTACAATTTCTCCTTCTATTTTGGAAATGGTGCCGTTCTTCTGGTGAATCTCGTCATTCAGGTTCTCCATAATGTCCTGGAGCTGGCGGATACGGGTTGTGGTGTTAGAAATGTCCAAAATGTCTCTGGATATCTCGTTTTCCACCTCGGCTACTGAACTTTCCTGATAGACAAAAACGAAAAAAAAATGCGAATTAATTGAAAGATGACCTCTAAATTTTTTTTTTTCACAATTAGTTTTCAAGTATTGATGGTTGCAGCTTCAGATAGATTGTGTGTCTTGTTGCTTTGGCCCTTCATCACCAGTTTTGACTGGAAAGCCAAGTCTGTTAGCCAATTGAACACTGTTCATAAATTCACAACATCGCACTGTTCACAAATTTGGAATTAAACCTTTGGACCGCTTACCTCCAATAGTTGCGGCAAAATTTTGTATTTGGCACAACAAACTCGAACATTTCAGGCAGTATAGTTTCAAGATTCGACAAAGAGCTTCTGCAAATATGCGCTTCAAAGCCTTTCTAAATGATCAAAATGCACTGAGACCGCATAGTTACCAGTTCAGTGGCTCTCCTTCTGAGTCTGTCAGTCATTTTCTTGGTGTAAACTGCAGCCTTATCCAATGTAAGCTGACTTCTCATCTTTTCCATGATGTTATCTTCAAGTTTAACTTTCTCCATGAACTCTCGCTCAATCTGTTTTCTCAGAGCTGTGATTTCATTCTCCTTTAGAGTGACCTCCTAGTTTGGTACAAAATAAAACACAGCAGTCAAGTACAAACGAAATATTAATTCTTCATTTGATAAAATAGCTATTATCTTTTAAAATGTCTTGCATGGTAAACAGACATCTCTTTCATTTCCCCCACACTAACAAAGAGTATTCCTAATTTCACCCTCGTGTAACAATTTTTTCCTCGCCAGAGTAGACAATAAAAAAACCCATTCTTTTGCATGTTCATTTCTATTTTTTATAAATCCCTTTGAGTGATTTGCGGGCCTTTAGGAGTCATGAACTGCAAGTGTGTAGCTCTGTTAGAGAAAAAGAAGGCACCTTTCTTAAACCACCTTTTCATGTATCCAGTCATATCTATGCACATGGCCATTGGAAAACAATAGACCAGTGTGTGTATCTGGGAAAATCCAAGATTTTCTTCTTAAATTCAAAAACAGATTTTAAATTTCTTTACTAAACAGATTAATCCAAGATCACTTGGATCATGGTGTATTTATTTAAAGGAAATGAAGAATTCACTCTGGGCAAGAATGCTTCAATTCCTTTGATGCACCATGATCCAAAAGAACTTGGATTACATTGTAATCTGTTTAGTAGAGAAATACAAAATCCATTTTTTGGATTTAAGAATTTTCCCCACAGAGGGCTTTCTGGTTTGAACCTCATTGTGTAGTTCCAGAAAATAACCATAGCTCGCCCATGAAAGGGAATTTTTCTAAGACATCCCCACCACAACCCCCTCTGAAAATTCCAGTTAAGCTTCATGCATTTCTTTAAACGTTTTGGCCTCACAGAACCCTGCCTCCCCCCACCAGGAAATTCCACTCCCTTCTGTGCAGGGAGTATGGATATTTTCTGGAATTGCACATTGTTATTAAACACACAACATTTCACTCACAGTTTCTGCCCTGCTAAGTTGTTGTTCTGTTTCATGGAGTGCCCTCGTGTACTTGCTGTACTCAGTCTTCAACACTTCCTGCTTGTTTCTACTAACTCCAATAAGTTTCTTCACCATGGAGATATCGGCTTCAATCTTGTTGTGCATCAGCGTGATCTGCTCATTTTGTTCCTGGGCTTTACTAATTGACTTTCTGTAACCTTCGATCTCTGTTTCTATGGCCTGAATTCTTTGTCTTTGGAGACTACACAAGAAAGAAGGAGAATGTTGACTTACTGGTGTTTGTTTCATGATGGTTCGAGAACACTTTACATGAGAGACTGCAAGTTCCAAAGACTATACAGTTGTTGATCAAAACCTGCTTAATATATACATATTTGCATATAAGTACCACATACTGATACAGACCACAAAAGGTTAGGATGTACATTTTTGCAGGGACATAGGTGTCTTAAATTTTTGCAGAAAGGGGGGGGGGGNGGAGGGGGACAAAACAGTTTGGGTCCTTGATCTAGACCTTGATTTTGGCTCACAAGGAGAGACTTCTGCTGGGTTCCTTGGCTAGATTTGCAATCACTTCATGTACATGTATATGTACTCCATTTTAGAATTGATCTGTTTGTTGACCTAGAATTCTGTGTACAAGCTGCAAGCCCCTCTACAAAGTGCATAACAGTGCCTTCACAATCAATATTTTCTCTTTACTTTCAGTGTCCACACTTTTACACCAAATAGAGTCTAGAACATCTAGTGTGAGCTAAAATGGTCTGACCAAACTATTCAGTGCATAAGCAATAGAACTATTTATGGAAAGTGCTCATCTCCTGAAGCTGCAGTCATCACGTGGTGCAAAACATGTTTCAAAATCCTAGGACAACTGTAAGCTTGCATGGGGTTGATTTAAACAAGACCGCTCATGCCATAGACTTGTACTTAAGCTGCTGTATGCAACAGGGTTATAACACCTAAGATACCCCTTAGTTTAATGTAAGTTATTCAAGCAGCATTATTCTTGTCAGCATACATTTCACTACATGTAGGTACATGCACATTTACACAGCTGTATTCAGATATGCTCAGTGATCAACAATTGTATTTCTTTGCTGAGGAAATGACATGAGAAGGACGGCCAGCCTTAGAGAAAATTCTTTAGGTCCAGGGAACAGATTTCTCTATAGTAACTGTAAGTACCTGACTTACCTCAAAGCTTCTTGCATGGCGGCATAAGCCTCATCACGTCGCCTCATTCCAATCAAACTACTGTACCACTGCTGAGTCAGCTGTTTCTTCTCAAGTTGAAGGGCCTAAGCAGTGTTAATTTAAAGCTTTAATCACCAAACCATGGAAGATGGAATTCACCACCTCAGTAACGTTGTGCAAATTAAAGAGTTTTTACCCCGGGTTGGTATAGTATTGCTAGGCATAGTGTATGTTTATTTTTTTATTTTTGAATTTGGATGCCCCCCAAAATACAGCACCTCATAAAATATACTTGAACTCGGTGCACAATAAAAGTCACTTTCAAAAGCATGGGGCTAGTGAATTTTTCATTATAAGGCAGGTCAGAAAATCACAGATTTTGGTCTTAAATAGGGTAACGGTTTTGGGAGATAGGTCACACACCCCCACCCAATTTTTCTGTTTGGTTGTCTCTACAGTTCTTCAATAATTTGAATTTCCTCAAAAATTATTCCAAGAAACTTCACTTGTCCTTTAGGCAGGTAATGGACAGACTCAACTAGTTCAACTGGAAAAGTAGCTTCTTCAGTCTAAAAAACAAGCCCAATTCAACACCATTCAAGACTAGAGTGCAAACACCATGCCATATCTGAGACCAAAATGGCCAAAATCAATACCGTATTTATGACTAGGACAGCTGGAAAACCATACCCTTTGAGGCTGCACATACATGTACCTATAGATATAGATTACAGCCCATATAAGAGGGGATGCATATTAGGCCTCACTTATAAACTGACTGACCTCTATTTCTGTCGTAGCCTCTGAAAGTGCCTTTTGGGCAGCTTTGGTTTCCTCCAGTTGAGCAGCGCACTGAGTCTCAAACATGTCAATTTCTTCCCTCAGGCGATCAACAGTTTGTGTGAGTCTGTCTACAAGGAGATCCTGTAGAAATTTAAGGGAAAAAATTGTTCCTTATTACAACAATCTCAAAAACCTATAATCCATTTCATGCAGAGGGAATTTAGATCTACTTTGTGACTTGTTCACCAATGATTAGATGTTTATTTTCAAGATGTCATTGTTTCAATATCGCCTGGTATTGACTTGTTGATCAGTCAATCAAAAATGCAAAGACAAACCAGTGTGACAGTTCTGAGCTGCTAGTTTTTCTTTCAGGCTTAAGAATATCCAAAGGGAGAAGTAACACTTTTGGGCATTTTGGTTTGTTTGGGTTAACAGACAATGGCTGTAACTCGTGCAAAGGACAACCTGGAAAAGCTAATGAATTTTCTTTCACCCTTCTGCCGACCAAATTGACACAAGGGTTCAGTGGGTTGACAGGTTGACAGAAAAGTGCACATAACAAACTACTCAGAATTGAAGACGTGGTTACTGGTCATCTTCACCAGCAACCATGCAGCTATTACTTCCAGCCCTAATATGTGGTACAGAAAGCTCTAAATGCAGCTCCACACACTGTATGTACAGCATTGTGACTGATAATTTTGCATAAATGTTGTGTGAAGTAAGATTAGCTAGCGTGTCCAGTCATTCATTCATATTATTAAGCTTAACAGTGACAGTTGTATTCACTTTGAGGTCGGTATTGGAGTTCAAAGACATAATTGCTTTTGGTTGCTGTTCCGTCTGACCACACTGTACATACCTGTTTCTTTTTCTCTGTCTCAGCCTTGGTAACTTCAGTGTCTGCTTTCTCTGCTGCTCTCCTCATGACAGCAATATCAGCCCTGACATCCTCTTTAGCTTCTTCCATGTAATGCAGCCTAGCTGCCAGGTTTTCAACCTCTGTTCTAAGCTCCTTAGCTACAGACAACAAATATATCAATTTATCACAGGACTGGGGAAATCAACTGAGAGTGGCCAGCTTAACACTAATTTTGAATTTACACTGCAGTACAAATTAATATAGGAATGTTGACTTCATAACTTTTTCAGTCAATATAATAAATGAGAATGAAGGCTCAAGCAATTAAGGATTTACACTACTCATGATACTTGAAAATTCTTTCAAATTGCACGCAGCTTAAAGCGTATCCAATTTTGAGAGAACTTCAAAATGTCTAACGAGTGTAAATCCTTAATTTCACTCACATTCACCTGATTTCCCATTGCAATAATGAATAAAATTATCCAATAATTCCACATTGAAAATTGTAAACCAGAAAGTTATTCCGTTGAACTGAATCTGTACAGTCATATACATGCCTAACTGGCTTATTTCAGGAAAAAAATCCACACTCTCCAACAGTTGATATGCTGTTCAAAATTTTTGCAGGAGATGGGTCAAGGATCCTGGAAATCCAAGTGAGAGGAAGGTAACTAAATCTATGTGTGGATTTATTATAGAGGACCCATTCTCCGAACCTTGTTTTCTTTGATGGTTGACCTCTTGTGATGTCTTGTCATGTAACTGTTTAGTTTCCTCCAGAAGTTTTTCACATTGTTGTCTCAGTTCATTCTCTGAGTTGTAGTTATCATGTTCTTTTTCCAAAAGCATTTGCTGTCTAGCAAGTTCTTGTTGGATTCCATACAACTGGACACCAAGCTCCTCTCTCTCACGCTTTTTGGTCTTAAGATCTTCCGTCTACATCCAAAGAAAGATACAAATAATCTCTCAGAAATTGATAAAGGAAGTATAGACAGACAAATATTTTGCAAACTTCGCTAAATTGATAGCTGCTCAACAAACACCTCTACATTGTAACAATAAAATCAGTGTACATGTACTGTATCTCACTCTAATAGTAAACAGACTTTGTGTTGCATTCTACAGTACGGTTGAATCCCTTCCCCAAAGCAAGAGATATACGCTCTAAGGGGTATCTTATCAACCTTGTTTCAGATTCCATACTGCACGTTACTGAGCTTTGTTTTCTCCATCCCACTTCTCACTTGGGCCATAACTCAGGGTGAAAATTTGTAGCATTTTCACCATGCAAACCTTAAACTTAATTGCAATTATAATTTTTAATTAATATCACTGCTTATTCAGTACTAACAAATAACCATTCTACTCACCAGCTCTCTTAGCTCCAAGTTAACCTTCTCTTGTTGCCTGAGTAAATGGGATTTGTAAGCAGCTTGGAATCTGACCATGAGAGGCTGAAATGACATAAAACATCAAAATTAATGCACATGATAACAGAATTCATGTCACTTATCTTGAGAATAGTGCAACACCCTTAAAATATGTGGATGTGGACAGTTAAGTATAAATCCAGTCAATTTAACAATAACAAGTATCAAGTCCTTTTGTCTCATCAACCTCAGATCACACCACAAGATATAGCCTTCATAATTTATGGGGTGAAATAGTTCTTATTTTATGTGACAACAACTTCAGCTTCAACTGTACTTCCTTTATTGTGCACTATTAACACTGTCCAAAAGAAATTTCTTGTTCAAGAAGAGCTATGTATGATATTGACCAAGCAAAGAAGCAATAGAGAAGTCCATGAAGTGTGGCTAAGATGATTTACTGTTACATAGCAGTGGATTTTTAGGATCTTTGCACAGCATTGTAATGTTACCATTTTGTTTTACTCAAATTTCAGATGACTCTCACTAAATAAATAAACCTGAGTGTTTGAAAAGAGACCAAACCCTTTCTGGTTTGTGGGAACTTTGAAGTTTTGATTTAAATTGAAACTCCACGTTACAGTAATTCATTGGTTGGTGCTTTGGTAGCTGTACATTATATACAAAGAGTAGTTGACAAAAAGCTACAATGTAGTAAGATTGTACAACATACATTATGCAGTAATCTGCTTATGAGCTAACATTGTCTTTTCTGCAATGAGGCGGTTATCACTATTAACTTTAAAGATAGATAATTTCGGAAAGTATCATCCACTCACATGATCTGGATCAAGAACCACCATGTCACTTTCTCCATCAGAACCAGACTCCTCATCACTGAGATCTTCGTCCCTGTCTTCACCGTCATCACCCTCAATCTCGTCTTCTCTGGCGTCCTCGCCACTTCCACTGATACCTTCGGAAAGCAACGTCTGCGCTCCGGGAGCTCCTTGAGGATCGAACGCGGGAATATCCTGCGTTAACGTAGCCGTGGGTACAAGGCCTTCGCTCTCTGCACCGGTCACAATAGTATCTACATCACTGGGGTCGCTCAAACGAAACTCTTTCAGAGCTTTGACGGTCAATTTGCTAACTGCATCTTGAATAGACTTTCTGGAATCAGCTGAGCCCTTTGATCTTCCGGATCCCGGCCTCTGTTCGCCGTCTTTTGCTTCTGTATCGCTAAGCCCGTTTTCTTCTGGTCTGTCCGCCATATTTTTCTCCTTCAAAAACAAGGTTGAACACTTGTTTCCTTGACGACCTGAGATTTGAGCCCGCGTTTCAAAGGTGAATCGTTGACGTCACATCCTATTTCCTTATATGTAGTATCAACTCGTCATTTATGGCGGAAAGAATGAGAGAGATACGGAACATGTAGTCTGTTTGTTTGTACTTTTCTCAGCTGTTTCTCACAAAACCCTATTCGAAATGGGTAATCGATTCAGCAGACAACATGAGGGAGTCGAGGATATCGACGTTTCTTCAAACCCTTATCGATATCCCCCTCTTTCAGGTAAATATCTCTCGCGATTTTCTTGCACAACACAAGAACGGCACATACACACTCACTAAGCTTATATTGATCATCACGTTATTCGAATGCCATCCCATCGGTACTAAACTTGAACATTTCGTCTGTAGGAAAGAGCTACTTCGCCGATTATTTTCTTATGGGAGGATCTAGGTTTGATACGCCGCAGCCGGAGGCGTACCTTTTTGGAGAAAATAGCGACTTGAATCTACTAAACCCGAAACCAGTTTCGGTAAGTACGTGTTATGCTCAAGTAAGCGCCTAATTCCCATCACTAAGAAAAGGTGTTAAAAGTTTTGTCGTAACTGTTTCATGGTTGAAAACACTGGGATGGTCTTTTCTTTACTCCAGTTAGACAAGATCGGCTTGTTGTGTTGGACATGGATTCAAAAGCGGGACATTTATAAGATCTGTGCTTGAATGACAGAAATGATGAATTAACAGACTCTATTGCCACATTTCTTGGGTACGATGTAGTAATTTGCGCTTGGCAACGCTTCTGAAGCACTTTTTACGCATTGCCGTGTGTCAGCAAGTTCTCTTTTTAACTATACGCAGTGAAGTCACGATAATCGAAAAGCTGTGATTTACACGCATGTTTAACTTCCGTCCTCGACTCAAATTTCCAACCGGACTCATCTGTTCTTCAAAACTGGCTGGAGAAGTGCTTTCGTCTCTAAGCTGACTATTTATTATAAATTCTAAGGGAAACTTGAATATTAAATGCTAATTAACAGAGAAATTTTTTTAAAACCAGTTTGCAAGTCACACTAGTCTTTTGTTTACACTCAGTTCGATTTAAGGTTATTTCTTTCATTTACCACACGAATTACCCTGACTTTTGAAGTTTATTAATAGGGGCTTCAAACAAACTGTAGCACTCGAACATTCAGAGAATGTTCCTTTTCATACGAGAGATCCGTAAAATGTCTTGACAAACATGGGCAAGTCTTTTTTTTTTACTACATCTGGTTATACATGTACACCGTACATTTCAGCATAAAGATGGGCACAAGACAGATTGTACATCAAGAAAACCTGCAATTTTGTTTTAGTCCATCTTTAACAACAACTAAGAGACAAATGTGGCAGGGACAGATAATCCGTCTGCATGTTCATCAGATGAATTAAACATGTGTGTACATGTGTCAATATTAATGCAGGCAGAAGACGAAAACCTCAAAGATGAACTGTCTGCTTTTGTAATTGATGGCTTAGCGTTCTTGGTAGTTCAACTTGTTTTGTCACTAGATGTACGAACAGCCAAACGAGGCTAGACTTCCTCACAGTCTCACAGCTGATAAAACTTAAGCCGTAGCATCTCAGATCAGTGACTCTTCTGGCAATTTAAAACCTGGAGAAAAGGCCTTGAGAGAAGCAACAAAAAACTTAAAACACATATATGTAGTCCCCAGCCTTTTGGTATCTGAAAAAATGAAGGTTTCATTGTTAGGACATAAGTACTTACCTTACTGCACCATCTTTGCTGTGTTTTAAATACACTGTATTTGAGATAAAGTGTGACTTTAACCTGTTCCAGGCTCTCAGTAGTTGGGGACGAGCAGAAAAAGAGGTGAGCGCCCTCTTTTCTCCCCAACTACCGAGAACCTGGAACAGGCTAGCATAACTTAGAAAGGAGAAACAGGACATTTAGTAAACTGAGCTTTGTTTTAAGTGAACCAATGGCTTTACAAAGCTGATCTTTTGTGCCGGCAATCGTTCTATTTAGAAAAGAATCCATAAAGTACATGTAATTTGTGGATCTTCATTGTTAAAGTTCTTGATATTCCGGGAAGTTTCATGTAATATCCAGCAAAAAACTAAGTTTTGGAAAATATGTATGTGTAGCAAACTGTCTGTCAGTTTGCCAATTATGCTTCAAAAAAACATTCAATTTCTATGTAATCTATGTACAGAAGATGATTAGAATTACAATTGATTGTTTTTCCTTAAAATAATTGAAGCTTTGCATGTATTTATGTGACATCACATCACTGAAGCATTATGTGCATTCTTGTTGTTGTTTTCAGTTTCCATATCCACAGCCACCAAGTAATGAACCAACAAAGACACTTAGAAGTCTTGTGAATTTAAGAAAAGATTCACTCAAGCTAGTGAAGTAAGTGTTTTTGTTTTGAGGACACTTTGTGTTATTAATCATTGAAAATTGCATGCATATTATATTTAGATGATTGGATGATCAAAATTTGTCATATGCAGATTAACTATAAAATGTACATTTACATGTAAAATGTTTTAATTATCCAGTCAGGCATGATGGAACATACATTCCCCTGACTAAATCATCAAAATAGAAATAATTTATGCAAAAAGCATTTTTTTATAATTGAACAACACCTCAGTTTTACATGACTTTGTACATGTACTTGCACTTGAATGTGTGAATCTTCGCATTTTCTCATTTTAAAAGCTACTATGCAGTAAGGGTTGTTGTGTTGCAAAAAGCTAACAGAATGTGGACGGTTGAATGAAGAGTTTTTTTGTCTTTGTTGATTCAGTGTATGACACAATTGCAATCAGCAAACACAATCATGGCAGCAATTTAAAGTCTAAGAGTATGTGTGCCACCATTAAAGAGAAATGGTAATGAAAAACTACATTGAAACTTGCCTGTAGGGTCAGGGTAACAAACTAGCTGATGCAGAAATGAAAGCAGTTTTATTTGAGTTAAGGGACAATTTAGGAACAGTTTTTCAATCAGTTTTTACTTTATCCAGGTCCTGGGGTGACATTTTTTCTTTGTTCTTCTTCTCTGTAGGAGCTCAGATCAAGAGAGCTACTCAGTTGAATTTGTTTTTGATGCTGATGTGAAATGTGCTGTAACAGTCCACTACAGGGCAACTGAAGACTTGTCCACAGGCTTAGCCATGTGAGTTCATTGTTCTATGCTAGATCACAGGAAACTCCACAATAGTTTGATTTTCTACTTGTACTGGACAGTCCTGGACATTGCTGTAACCTCAGCTGACAAATGACAGAAACATAGTGCAGAGACATGTAGAAAGTACTGATGACTACCTGGTAAAATAAGCTCAGTGACATGTTGATGAGCAAGACATGACACAGTCACTGCGGGTAGTGTTTCTAAGTTTAATTCAGAGTCCTTTGCATGAGTCTTGTTGCTAGATATTAACTAACATGAAATCCTAGTTTTGAGTTTATAGAACCTGGGCTTGTAGAACTTCAAAGAGTTCATTTTGGTTGGCCTTACATGTATTAATCATCTAGCCCCGGTTGTTTGAACGCTGGATAACGCTATCCATTGGATAAATCACTATCCAGGAGATAACTGTTAACAAAACAAACCATGCTACCTGGTGGATAGCGTTATCCACCTTTCAAACAACCCAGACCTGGAAGGGTTCGTATTACATATGATCATGCAAGTGGTGTAAGATGACGTTTTCAATTGAGCTAACAAGAAATGACTTCAGATCTGTTAAAATTCCCACATCTCAGACACAGAGTTCTTGTGATAACAAAATTTGTTCTCCAGGGCTAAATTTGATGGAATTTTAGTGTCATACAAGTTTCAATCTAACATTATTTGTCCACATTGCAGTTACACATCTACGGAGCCTTTCTCGTCGTCATCCAAGACACGTTTTCCAAAAGGTTCTGGTCAGGTGTATAACAGTGCTCCTAAACACAAAATTAAACCCAGTATGTTTACTGAGGAGGAGGTGAGTGGTTGTTGTACCTTCTCTAATTATGTGTACTTAAGATACAGAAGTGGAAAAATCCAAATGAACAGTCCATACATATGCACTGACTTCAGCACAAGGTATAGTGCATCATTAGAAGCAATATCACCCCAGAGTCAAGTGGTGTGACTGAGATTGGTGTGACTTGTGACTCTGGCACAATAAACACTATTAAAGTCAAACTTAATTCTATCAATATTTGATTCAGCACAATGATAACATGATATTTTAGCATTGCTCATGGCAGTCAAACTGCTTTTTCTTCACACTTTTATTCACAAATATTCTAATTTTTTTCCTATGAAGTATTTTTCATCATCATCATCATTTCATCAAGTCTCTGTGCATCAGTAGGCGCCCTTTTAAATGAGATATATAACTTAGGCTATGCTGCTGTAAATAACTGTTGAGAAATTAAATAAAGAAGAGAGTCAGGAAAAGGGTGATCATTGTATGATAATCAATTAATCCTTAAGTGATAGCAAGAGTGACTTCAGTTCACCTCTGAAATAAGATTTGATTTTTGGTAGCAGTTTGTGGTTGTCCAGGTAGTAAATAAAAGGCAATGGAATAGTGTAGTCATTTACTGAATAATTTTACTTGTGTGTGGAGAAGGATGAGTCTGTGTAATATTGCTCTACTCATCTCTTGCCATCTGGGGAAAACATATCATCTTCAGTGTTAACCTGTTTTATTATTCAAATGGCTATACTACATGTATAACTTTGTCTATAACTTTGTTTCTCAGGGTTTCTTTAGTTGTCATCATTGCTACATGTAGTTCATTTAAAGAGTGTATGGTTAAGTTCTTATATTTTTACTTCATTGTAGTTGAACTATTGCCCAATAAATCATTCCCACATTCCAGTAGTGATTCAGATTGATGCCGATGAGGAAGGTATGGACCCTATAGATTAACTAGATAAAAACACTTGTTAAACTGACTGAAAATATTTATTTGGAAATTAAGATTATTGAAAAGTTTAATGTTGTAATTAGAGACTGAAGAATTGTCTGAACACTGAATCTATTTTCAATGAACATCTTCATGTATAGTCAATCAACTTGTTGAAACATAATTGAACTTCATTATTTACACTTGTCTTTCTCTTTTGCTTGGATTTAAAGTACAGTGGAACCCCACCTTATGGCCACCCATTAATATGGCCAACTCTTTATGATTGCCACTTTACGTTGGCCTGAACAAAAGCTCAGACATTTTCTTATTTAAAGAACTCCTTTAATATGGCCACCCTGTTAATATGGCCAGATTTTGTTTGGCTCGTTAGTCACCGAATTAACAGGATTATTTTCCACCATAGCTACATTTGTGTAGCTATGGTGTACATGTACGTACATGTTTGAGATTAACAAACAAATAATGTATATATTTTTTAAACAATGACTTAAAAAATCAAAACTTTTGAACAGTTAAATGATTACAACCTAGCAAAATAAGTCTCAGGGTCTAAAGAATCAAATTGCAGAACACTGCACTGTGCTTGACAAATTAAATGAACTTGTATCTAACCGTGTTTTGGATGTTTTTGTACAAGTTTACAGTTTTCTTTGTATTTGGTCCACAGATTATCTGGGTCATTCAAACATCACACTGGCAACATTTGAAAAAATGTCTGATGGATCATACATTGTAAAACCCATCAAGCAGAAACAAATGGTATGACAAAAAAAAAATGAATAATTAAAAATAGGAACATCTAAATTAAGAAATAATGTTGTTAACAATAACAAAACATCTATCAACTGACAATCACAGTCATTCTTGTCATTCTTTTCTGCTTGACAATACATGTATGTTAGTTTAGAAAGGATAAAAAATGGTAGAATAACATCATTTTTAAGCTCTTGCTCTGGCTAGAGTTCCCTGGCGTGCATGGCCAGTCATTTGCTTTATATTGTAAGTAGTTGCTTTTGTCTTAAAAATTCTGACATAGATGACAAGGAGAATACAGAGGAGTGCTCATGTTCTCTCTTATCCTGCTGGCTCAGATACAGCTGTACATTTTTGTCCTAGCATACAGAGAAGCTTGGGGCTAGATGACTTTACAGTCAAGCTGGTGGCTTCTTTCTTTCATCTTTTGTTTTTCAGGGGGATGAAATGTTAGAAAATTCAAATTAAGGAAGTACAGTACTTTGAGAGATCAAATTGTTGTTGAAATTTTAGCTTTTAACTGATTACTTGTGCAAGTGGGAAATGTTTTCTCAAGCTAGTAAAATTGACTTTCTGGCTAGTTTATGCCAGAAAGTCAACTGATTTTCTTTGCACCCTGATATATGCCCAGGAAAGCCACTGAGCTAGGCAACACAGGTCAAGAGTTCCCAAATTAAAGATTCTAAAAATAAACAGCAAGTATTGCACAGTGGCTTGTCTTTTATGAATAGTCGCACAGTAGGGCTTTCATCCACAGACTTAAAATCATTAATTCCACTTCCAAAAAGAGTTTCACGCTTTTTGCTAGCTTCATAGGTCTGCAATGCATGCTAAGGACCCTGTCTTGATATAATTTTTGATTTTTCATCAAGAGTCTTTTTTGTTTCCTACTACAAGGTTGATGGCCTGTGCTACCTTCTTCAAGAGATTTATGGAATTGAAAATAAAATTAATCAGAAGAGTGGCAAGGTTAGTGTTTCAGCCCATGACAGTTGCCATGTTGGTGCTACTTATCTCCCCAGACCATGAAGCCTGGGAGCGTTTTATTGCCCTACTGTTAGCATGGTCTAGGGTCTTTGGTCTTTGGTCATTGGTCAAGGTTTGCTTGTTGGCCAGAATCACGATGTCATTTTCTTGTGTAAATATACACTGTACTCTCACATTACCTCTCTCTACTGGGAGTTTAAATTGGTACATGCATGTGGTGGGGGGAATGCTGTTACTTGAGGCAAAATGTTGTGGTGTTACCTGAGATCATGTGATGGTATAGCATCATGTATTCAGTTCACGAGTGGGAGAAAGGGTGGAAGCAGTACACCTAGTTATTTCTTGTCTTTTAGAGGCATAATAATTATAGGCTCATTTGGACAGAGCACAAAGCTTACTATTAATAGACACAAGTTAGAAAATATAACCTTACAACACTTTTTGTAATGTACTGAGACCATCATATCCCTGTTAATGTGTATTGTTGTCAGGAGATTTTTGATAATGATTCAATTATCTTTGGCAGGATGAAGATAATGAATTAGAAGAGACTGGTTTGGAATGTGTGATCTGCATGAGTGACATGCGAGACACCTTGATCTTACCCTGCAGACATCTATGTCTTTGTAGAGATTGTGGTGAGTTAGGAGTTTCAATCAATGTCCAGATGAGTTGAATTAATTGCACAGTTTGATTAACATCTTTCAGATGCTCTTGCAAAAGATGTTGTTTAGCATAGCACTCTCTGAAATGAACACGCCATGCAGCCTTTCTGTTGCAGCAGTTGTTGCAGAAAGTAGAACTTGACTCCACTCCGTGCATCTTCTGCTGTAGCAAAAGTGTTGCAGGACATGCTCACAGAGCCTTTATAGTCCCTGTGACTTGATTGAGTAATACGTCAGGGTGAAATCAAAGTATTTTCAGATTTGCACCGGAAGTATTGAAGTTGAAAGCATGTGTTAAAAAGTTTCCTTCTTTTTCAGCTGAATCACTTAGATATCAAGCAAGTAACTGTCCCATATGTAGATCACGTAAGTAGTGTTCTTTTAAGGACGGAAAACGTAGTTCAAGCAGGGTATCCCCATGATTTCTAGCCTGATGTGGCAATTTTTAAGTTCTTAAGCTGTTTTAGAGTCAACCCTCATCAAGTGTGTTCACACATGAGGCCAGAATTTGCTGTTTCTGCTGGGGCATGAATGATACAAAATTCAGTATGCTACATTGGAAATTACGTTTTTCTCTTGACTGTTTGTNGGAAGTATTGAAGTTGAAAGCATGTGTTAAAAAGTTTCCTTCTTTTTCAGCTGAATCACTTAGATATCAAGCAAGTAACTGTCCCATATGTAGATCACGTAAGTAGTGTTCTTTTAAGGATGGAAAACGTAGTTGAAGCAGGGTATCACCATGATTTCTAGCCTGATGTGGTAATTTCTGAGTTCTCAAGCTGTTTTAGAGTCACCCCTCATCAAGTGTGTCCACACATGAGGCCAGAAGTTGCTGTTTCTGCTGGGGCATGAATGTTACAAAATTGTTCTGCTACATTGGAAATTACGTTTTCCTCTTGACTGTGTGTTCACTGCTTTGAATAAAATGGCTAGTTATTAGAGGAAACAATTTTTAAACACAAACTGAAACAACCTTAGTAGTAGTATTAATCTTAGCTCTAGTTTTCAACCTTAGTTGTATTCTGAAGTTTTTATTATTATTCTGTATTTTAGACTTTTAATGTTTTTAGTCGGACTTTTATTTTTTAGAGGAGTCTCCTAAAAACCATTGCTAATTGATTGGATGTTTCCCTTTAAAATACGTATTTATTATTACTATTTATTATTTTATTAATTAAATTATAATGTGTCAGATTTCTCATNCAATTTTTAAACACAAACTGAAACAGTTTCTTACTAAAACAACAGTATTAATCTTAGTTCTAGTTTTCAACCATAGTTGTATTCTGAAATTTTTATTATTATTCTGTATTTCAGACTTTAAATGTTTTTAGACTTTTATTTCTTAGAGGACTCTCCTAAAAGCCACTGCTAGGTGATTAGAGGCTTCCTTTTAAAATACGTATTTATTATTACTATTTATTATTTTATTAATTAAATTATAATGTGTCAGATTTCTCATCCATTCCACCCCATCTAAAACATATAAAATTATAAAACGTCGTTTTAAAGGTTGTCCTTTGGTGCATTTATAACGTCTCTGGTCTTTATTTTTCTTAGCGTTTCACGCATTGTTACAAGTTTGTGCTTTCATCAAGAAACAAAATGGTTCAACTACTCAGGTAATACGCTGTTAAATGCACAAGCAAACTCCATTTCTCCATCAGACATCGTCTTCTAGTTGCTGATTTTCCATATTCTCATCACTTGCTTGCTTACAATGTATTGACAGGGTAAGGAGAAATTTGAGTTTGGTAACATGCACTTGACTTCAATTTCTCATTGTAGGAGAGCGCATGGCCTGGTTACGAAGAGATTCCTCTTGTAGAAGCATTAAATGGAACGATTAAACCAGACAACATACCAGAAGGTATTGTGTTCATTTGTAAGGCATTTGACCTCCACTATCAAAATATGGCTTTTCATAACGAATAGACCAGTTTACAGTTGTCTGCTCAGTGACCTGGCCTTTGGGTGGCAGCGCTGCTGGAGTTGACCTTGTTTTGATACAGACCTCACTGCTTTTGTTGTGTAAAACAAGTTGTTCTGATGCTAACTAGGTGCATTTACATGACAAAAGCAGTGAGGTCTGTATCAAAACAAGGTCAACTCCACTCTCGCTGATATCCAAAGGCCAAGTCACTGAGCAGGCGCCTGTAAAATGGTCTATTGTCATTTTGCTGGAGCTCGAAATTGACTGCATGCAGACGAGTGTCAGTAAGCCATTGCGAACACAAAAGGGCGGTATGGCCGAGTAGGAATGCGCCCACGTCTCGTCCCATTCCCCTTTAGGCTAAAGCGTCTTGCCTCATAATCCCAGCTGAGTTTCGAGAAAACAGACTGCCAGCAGTCTATGCTTGAAAGCAGTGTCCCACAGGTTTAAAGAACTGCAGTAAAACCTGTGCTTGAAATGTAGCCAGCGAAAAGATCCCCTTCGCATTAAACGCCAAAGCGACGGGAGCAATGACAGGCGTTTGTGCCTTGAAACGTGGCCTTGACGTATCATATGGGGGGTGAACCATTTGACCTTTGAGGGGGTGTGAGTGATTTGGTATAGGCACGATTTTTTTAACCCTTTTTATGCACCAGAAAAAAAAAATTTTCTCGGGACGTGACTATGTATGATATTGTTTCTTTTTTTTTTCTGTATAACATCCTTTTTTTCCGGTTCACTGAAGGTGCCTGAATTTTTTGGGTGGTGGTCGGGTGCATGAATGTTTTTTTGGTTTAAGTATGCTTACAGAATATTTTTTTGAAAATCACCCACCAACCCCCCACCCCCCTCAAATGTTAAATGGTCCACCCTAATCTAAAGTTTGTCACTAACATTTCCTCATCATTGCCCCATTGCAGAAGCTGCAGCACGCATGCGCCGGAGGTCAGCGTCAAGTATTCGCTACTCTGGTCGGAGACGAGTCGAGAGTGCTCGCAATCACCGGTACGTTGAACGATCTTTGTCTGCATGCTCGGGGATGTCTCGGCCTGGAACAGCTCCTGCTAGTAGAAGCAGAGTTGAACAAGCGGAGGAACCTAGTAGAATTGAACCAGTTGAAAGACAGGAGGCTTCTCTAGAGACAAAAGACATGGTCACGCTAATTGGAGGCACAGAAATCGAAGAAGCAACTTCAGTGCATGAGGATGAACAAGGTGGGAATCAAAGTCCTTGTCGTCGTGTTTCTTTTTTTTTTGTTGTAATTTTGTGGTAGAGTTACAGCATTGATACATAAAGTAAACAACACCCTTTTAAGTACTACATACATTGCTTACTTGCTGTCGCTTCTCCAGCTTCTCTGGTAATTTACTGCGACGAAGCTGTCATGGTTGCGTTATTCTTCCTAATATGACAAACGCGTCCTTCTTGTGTGAACCATATTTTGGCGTAAACTGGAACCCCGTTAATAAGGTCACCAAGGGCCATAAAAATTTGGCTGCATTAACGGGGTGGCTGTAATAACGGGGTAGGGTCATATTTTATGACCGGCCTATTTCAAGTGACGTCTTGCGACAGATATATCACAATTGCATTTCTGAACAACTGCTCTTTAATAAGCATCCGGCAGGCAGATATAATTTTAAACAATTGAAGCTTCATTCAGTTCATATTAACCGCGGAAAGATAAACGTAACTGGATTCTAAACACGAAACGAGAGCAGACATGGCTATGCATATCGTTCTCAAAACAAAGGTTCTGACCTCTCGGTGCGAGTGGCCGTATTAACGAGGAAAAACTATAAAGGATTATCCAGAACTGGCCATTGGCCGTATAAATGTGGTGGCCGTATAAACGTGGTGGCCGGATTAACGGGGTTTTCTTATAAGGAAACGTGCGGGCGTTTCGCCGGGACAAAAAGAGTGGCCTTAATAAGAAGGTAACCGTAAGGGGGGCTTCCACCGTAACAAATTCTCCTGTGAGTCATTTTGTGTGTTTTTCATTTCTGTAGCATGTCCAGTATTCACGGGGAAACCAGAAGAAGACGAAGATGCACAGGACCTCCAAGTACACGTCGACGTGTCCTTACCCGGCACACCGCTGAGTAGTGATATCAGCGGGCGCAGCAGCCTGAGTGCCGGAAGTGTTTCAGCTACTACGCCTACGTATATCCGGTTAGAGGAAGGGACTGGAGAAGCTACGGTTACCACTATACCTACATAATTTTCTATGATATTTAAATTCTCGGAATTCGGGGCAGAAGGGTAGCATAACTTGTCCCTTAGCTGTAAAACAGTTTCTTGGTTTCACATGAAAATAAAGCGTGTTCGGCAGTCAGAAAATTATTCTATCACATCGTGTTACCATCATAATTCTTGAGAACGAACCGTAAACAGGGTAACCGGTAACCTTTTGTTCTTTTCATGGTAACCGTAGAGCTATTCAGGCTAACCGGACACGGAGTACTACACGTCGTTGAAAAATAGTGAACTTTGTTACGGTTAGCCTAAATGGCGCACCGGTTAGCCGGTTTACGGTTAGTTCTCAATTGTATTGGTAACACGATTAATAGTTAGTCTGCCGGACATGCAGACGCAGCGGGGTTTTTTTAATTGACAGGCAATGAAACGTTTCAACGGTGCTACAAACTTTTCACTGGATGCCTCTGGGAGAAAAGATCATTAACTATTTGCTCCCTTTGAAAACTTAATTATGATGAAAGTAATCCGACATTTCAGTTTGCAGAATGACAAAAAGCAAACAGTACCCCTTGAAAGTGCTGCTTGACAGCTTTCATTTAAATGGTCACACACTAGGGTTTCATCCACAGACTTTAACGTTTGAACCACCTTGCACAGCATAATAAACAGTACCACATGAAATTACTGCTCAATAGTTTTCATTTGAATGGCCGCACATAGCATTTCATTCATAGGTTTGAAAGAAAGTAAGGACTATATTTTGTTAAGGTTTGCCAGATAACTTCCTTTTTCGTAACAGATTCAGTTTAGCTACGAGGATATTTAGGTCGACTATCAAGAACTGTTTTGCAGCTTACTTGTTGTCATCTTTTTATTTTACCCCCAAAAAAGCAGTCGAAAAATTGCGAATATGCAAAACTATGTTTTACAGCGATTCTAACCTGGTTTATTGACAATGTTTTCCCATGTAAGACAACATATATTGTCTAGCTAATCTTTATTATTTTTTAACATTTTCAAAGTATTTTTTAGCCCAACCTTAAGTTTCGTATTTAAGGCTAATGGAAACTGCTCTCGAATCTCCGTTGCAAATGAAAAGAGCAGGGTTAGCTTCGTTTTAAGAATCTTTCTCCAAACCCTTATAACGAGACTTCACAGGAATCAGAATTATCCCCCACCCCACCCCCCTCCCAACCAAGGACACGCATACGTTAGAATAGAGGCGTTTAAATTTCACTGCTTGTTTAAATAATTATGCCGAAGCAGTCATTTTGATTGTAACTGTGTGTAGGTAATTAGATAGTTTAATCAATGGCAACTTGGTGCCTTGCACTAAAGAATCCAAAGATGGCGGCTAAAGGTAGCCACCATGGGTAAGAAGTACTGATGTAACAATGGCTGTAGATTGAATCACTATTCGCTAAGTAGGGGTTTAAGACCAATTTTAGAATGAGAGAAAATGTTAGTCTCCTTAGAAGACTGGTTTTGAGCAAATTTCGAGGACTTTCGATTCGTAGGCGGCGATGAAACATCGCGCGATTCACGCAGGTTCGAGCAACCGGGTTGCCAGGCGAACTTCGTTGACAAAACCGTCACGGGTCACGCAGTCTTCGTTTCTGTTCAAATAGCTAAAAGCATACTAACGCAAAAAAAAATTACTCAAAGGAAATACATGTGTATATCTTTTGTACTATTGCAAGTACGGAGTAAATCAGTTATGTGCTATTTGTATTTCGATCTCTCGCTGAGCACTGAGGGAGCACTTGCTTTAAAGTTGGTTGCATTTGGAAAATAATCTTGTTCTTTGTAGTGTTAGTTCCAAGGGAGCTAGTGATTCCTCTACAGGTTGTGGTACAAGGTGTCGCTTGACTGATTTTGTATTATAAATACTTTTTGTACATAGCTTATACACTTTTTTTTTTCAATTGAAACTTGTAAGCGTGCTATGACCTGCAGTCATATCGGTGTGGTCAAGTTTCTGTAAGCGCGGTTAGGAATATAAACTGCGAAAGGAAAACATTCCTCGCATATCTTGTGAAGAAGCGTAACATATCGAATAAAATCCCGCCCCTCCCAATGTCTACTTTGAAATAAAAAAAAATGAACTTGTGTTGTAACTATCGAGTCTTAATTACGAGTGGTCCGATCGTTTGTCAGAAGAAAATAGGGGTTCTTCTAGATCACGGTAGTCCCGTCCGTCACGCAGGTAACGCTATGCTCGTGAATGTAACGGTGTTTTGGAGGGGACGCGGGGAATCTCGTGTCAAAAAGTCAGGGATGCTGGTGCTTTGCTGAGGGTGTTATAACGTGTGAGTCCAGGGCGGGAAGCCAATATTTTTAGTCGTCAAGGAATCATTCAGCGCTGCACGCGAGGAAATTAAAATAAACACTTTCGCAGTGTTCCATGTGGTCTAGAGCGATCAGGCTTGAGCTTAATTTTTTTTCAAAAAATTATCTTTTCGGGGTCAAATACGGTAAGGCTTGAAAAAAACACGTGCAGATCCCCTTGAGGTCATGATTCAGATTGTCCGAAAACCGCCCCGACACTTCAACTTGGAAGTTCCTCTGGACTTTGAGACCTACAGAGCTATGAATGACTCTTGTCTTGTCATAAAGCGAAAGAAAATGAGCTACCAATACAACGCTGTTTGAGGTCAACATACTGCGACGATATATTGAAATCCTTTTTACAGGATCAATTTATGGTAGGGCGAATTATTTAAAGCCTTAGTAATTGCCATGGTGTAATGAATAATTCATAGCACGAGGAGTAAGACAATGAGACATCTGTTCGCTTTGAGTCTATAAAGTCACAATGCCGGAGAGCGAAATAACGAGGATATCAAGAAGCACGGCCAGGGTATTCCTGTCAAGAAACCCACAGCCTAAATACAAGTACATCGAAGACCCGGCGGACGTTGTGTCTTTGACGTACAAGAACCAGTTCAGTCAATTCAACGAGAAATATCACGAACTGAAAGTGACCGTCTGGCCGATCTTCGGTCGCTTTAGCGGCGAGCGAGTGGTTTTCCACTATGACTGGGACACAGTGAAAGTATCTGTGGATAATAACTTGGCTTACGTCATGTTTCTCCGAGCAGGGACTTCCCCGGAAAATATGTTAAGGTTTTGCCTGAACTTTCTCTATTCAAGCGACGCGGAGGGAATTTTAAAGTAAGGCGATAATTAATGAGTTTTTTTTATCGTTTTTATGCTATTGAATTTTAACTGTGCTCCCATCCAAATGCCACACTCTCTGTCATGATTGAGATAAACTTTAATATGGAAGATTTGATGAAGATCCGTACCAATTTAATCCTAATCATAAATTCTTAGTTGAAAATATATCGTGACGTGACTGGTATTAAAGTAGCGAGCGCTATCGCCAACAGATGCTTGATCGTCAAATCATTGTTTGCATTTCTCAGGGGTTCTTTTAAATAATGATATTTCCGATATTTCATAGCATCAACATGTTTTACACCAGGGTTGAAAGCGACGGGCTAGGCTATAGTGTGAGATCTTCAGTTGTATGGTGGTTCGATCTGTTAACTTCTGACTGTTTATAAAAGAAACAGTTATTTCCTAAAGCCAAGAAAGCTACATCATACATTTATAATATATTATTAGACATTTTGACGATCATTATTAAACTTTTGTAAACATTCTTTTCGGTGTCGTATCGAATGTATCGAAAGTTTTGACATACGTTAATTCTTGAGTTTGCAAGGTACACTTCTAACGCGTGGCTAATGAACGCTTCGCGCGCTGTACCCTGAAAAGCTCATGACATGATTCACGGTCCAGTGGGATAATCTGTACGTTCACGGCACTCTCAATGTTGTTTTTATTCTTTTTTCTTCCAACACGCTCTGCCAACCGATCAGTCAAGAGTCCCTTAAAAGGTCAAGTTCCCTAGTTTGGGGAACTCATCTGATTTTGACTTGATCTGGGGGTGAGGGTGGGGGTGTACTCCTTTGGAGTAGTACTCCTTTATATGGTCTGTATAGGTATGTGGGGCCCCAAAGGGGAGGGTTTTTTGGCCTGAAATAGGATACCGAGTTTGGCCATTTTGGTCTGAAATAGGGTATGCCTGTTGTGCACTCTAACCTTGAGTTAGGTATGTCTTTTAGAAGAAGCTATTCCTTCATCATGATCATTATTTCCGGATAAGACCATCAACAAAAGCCTTTCTCAAAATTATGTCTACGCCAACCGTGTAGGTGCCGCAAGGGCTGCTCGACTAATGAGGGTCAGGTCGGAAATGGGGTAGCAGGGTAGGGAAAGTCGCAGAGTTTGGTCTGATATCGGGTAAGGGCTTCTGGAAGCGGGTCGCACAACCCCACCCACTTTTTCTTGGGGTATCCCCCCGGGGTTTGCTCCAATGCTTAGCTTGTTTTAGACCAACGGGGGATTTCTACTTGTTCTCCTTTGACCCCGCTAAAATTTGTAAATACAATTCGCTAAGTAGTGCCACAAGCCTATAAGCCAACAAAATAATTTTATTTCTACAGTAAACATGATGCACACGTCGGCGATGAAGTCTGCGTTCTTCAATCGAAGGTGAAAAACACTCCTGCGTCTTTGGTGGTCCAGTGTTTGAGGTCAGTGGTTATCAACATGCAAAGCATGCCTAGGAATGAACTACAATATCTACCCTCTCCTTATCAAGAACTTGTTCAACCAGAATCCTTCGTTCAAACGAAATTTAAACTTTGGCCACGGTACGTTCGAGGAGAGAGCACAACTTTGATGATGAAAAAAGGCACAATAGTCAGCGAAATTCTGCTCTTGTTGAGACAGAAGTTACAGCTTGGAAGTGACTTAGAGGTATGCCTGTTCAAAAGTTGTCTTCCTTTAGAAGAACATGACGTAATTCAAGAGGAAAATGGCGACTATGACTGCGTCTTTAATCCGTCAAAAATACCAACGAACATTTCGGATGCAGCGCGGATCGGGAAGTCTCGGGATGTTACTCTTACAACTCATTCTAATAAAGATGTAAGTATTGCTGTGTTTCGTACAACTCAGTCTAATAAAGATTTAAGTATTGCTGTGTTTCGTACAACTCAGTCTAATAAAGATTTAAGTATTGCTGTGTTTCACTCTGCGAACATGCTCTAGGCCTATTCATTATTAGCATGAAATTAGTCTTCGCAGAAGGCCAAAGAAATCGGTACGAACTACTAGCTAAAACAGGAGCGCAAAACAGAAACAAGTGGGCAAACGCAAAGAAAAGAAAGCGAAAACGGGCTAGGAAATTAAATACGGAAGAAAACAGAAAAACTGAAAAAGGGCGCGAAATTAAAGACTGGAGCCGGAAGCCTAGACGGCATGGTGGATTACAACAGTTTTAAATGTTAAAACTTCTTTTGAATTGTTTCAGGTTATTGTTGCATCACTGGTAGGAAAGGAAATGAAAGAGGTCCACATTAATTTGTCTCTTCCCCTCAAATTTCTGGATATACAGCTACGCCAGATTTTTCGACTCAAGCCATGGAGTTTCCTGGCCTTGTACCTTCCAGGCGAAGATCGTAACATATTCCACACCGGTAGAACGATTTACACATCATACGAGGAAGAATTCGCCAAATTTCTTATATCAAACGGAAAAAGAAATTTCCCGAGGCCAGATAAAGGCATCGAAACACTGGGAGTCAAAGAAATGTATAAAGAATGCTGCGTTTTCAAGAAATCGCTTCGCAGTCTCGGCTTTCATCCGGGAGCTTTTGTTGAAGTGTTTGAGATCACTGGGCCGAGTATCCCGGTCATGTACTCTGGTGCGGTGACTAAGGCTCAAGTGATTGACGTGAATCCTGATTGGCCGCTACAGACATTTCTGTATTACGTCAAAGTGAACACTCCGCAAGCTGCGAAAATCGAATCTATCGACTACGTAAACAACTGTAACGAAGGCATTGTGACCGACATCTTGAAGATGATGAGAAATTTGTGGAACAGGCCTAATGAAGGAGGACGACTTGAATATGTGAGATTGCGCAGCTAAAACATAACTATAACAAGATGTGCATTTTTATAAGACAATCGTAATGGAAGATATCAAGGAGCAAATGAACTTAGTCTAGCGAGTGACTCTTCATAGATTTTAATACTTTTATAGAGTATTAGAAAATGGCCCAAAGGATGTACGCGCGCTGATTGGTTTAAAATCGTGTTTCTATTTAACAATTAGATTATGAGCTCGAGATTTCTATCGTGGGTTAGTTGACGAGGGCGCAGTCCCAGTCAACTATTACGCATGGAAATCGAGAGCGAATAATGTAATTGTTTTAGTATAAAGCTACTAGTCGTTCAAAACTTTATCTAAATCGTCTTAACAAAAACCTTTTCTATTTCCTCATTAAAAGTTTTGATACAATTGTTGACGTCGCGGTTAATGACCAAACAGTACCGACGTATCTTTGCTACTCCATCGCGAGTCGACACCGACAGTTTTTTAGGTTGTTGGAATATTTCACCGAGACTCATTTGTACCGCACCTGAGTCAAGAAAAGCCCTGTGAAGGTTAGATGTCTCAAGAACATTATACAATGGCTTTACCAGAACTCAAACTTTGCTGTTCCTCTCCAGGGTTTAGAGTACCTCGTACCAGGGCACTTTCCTCTTCAGAACCCGCTCTTCCTACATTTGAGGAAAGCGCGCTGGGGACTAGGTTGGAGTCTGGACTGGTACCAACACTAACGGAACAAAGGTTGATTTGGGTCAATAAGGGGACTAAAGAGCCAAACTGCTTTTGTTTAGAACGATAACAACTTTTAATAAGAGCAAATCTTTGACTATTCACATTTAGTCTTTTAATCTTATGAACATCAGTAGGATATTTTGAATGGTCGTATCAGTGGTCTGTAGACAAAGTAGAGTATAAACACGAATCAGCATGAAGACATGCAATGAGGGTTTACTGCGATTATCAGTTGAGTAAGCCGCGACGGAACTTTGGTGTATGACGAGAATTACGGTGTTGTCATGGGAAACTCTACTCGTTTCCAGTGATAACAATATCGTCACCTGCAATTTCGCGCGCTAGGCTGCGCATGACGTCAAAAGTCGACAAGTTGCCACTAGAAACGGAACCAGTTTCCCGTAACAACACCTGGTTGAAACCTGGTTACTAAACTTATTCATCTTTTAAACGTAGTAATTATTAGCTATCCAATAGCAATCTGCAATTTTATGACCAGTGTGAGTTAATTAGGGAGGGAGAAACAATCGTCATATATGCTGATTGACGACTGCTGTTCTACTGCAGTTTAAAACTGTGAGATTAATAAAGCCAAGCCATCCGTGCTCGAGAATTTTAGCCTGCTACTATGCCAAACGCCGTGAAAAACAATGTATTATCTACGCATGTAGACAAAATTTTAAGTGTCACCTTTCTTCCCACACAGCTTGCTAAACTTACCTTCTATCAGAAAACGTTCTTCTCATCTTGGTTCTTCTGTATCTGGTTCAGCACCTCTCTTCTTATCCACTTGATTAGTGCGAGATATTCGAACAGCGTTAAAGAAGCGATCACAAAATTCTTTTCTAGAAGAATTCCAGCCTTTAGTAAAACCGACAAACAGAACCTAAAAAATAAGTTTTTCTGTCAATTTTAATTTTTATGTGTTTAACATATTGCATATTTTAGCTCAATTTTAGAAGGCTCAAAAATGCTCTTGCGTCAGCAATGTTTTATTTTCACCTGCTCAGAACAAGTAGAAGAACAAGAATAAGGATCAGGACTTGATTTAATTTTGTAAAGCTGGACCTACCGACTATTGCATGTAATAGAAGCCTATCAGAAAGTGAAGATATCGATAGCTAATTTTACGATAACTGCAGAAATTCTCGCGCGCTCATTGGCTAATTTTCATTGTCAATATGGGGACAGACACATGAATTTATAATTTATGCGTTGCGTCAACGAGCGAGAGCGGACAATTTGACACTCGGATTTCCGAGTCAATTTGCCTATCGCCTCGTGGATCCGAAGCTTCTTTGACAACGCTATGACGAAATTCATGATCAATAACAGGACAGACGCATGAAAAACTGAAGTCAGTTTGTTAATTTCACAATAACTGCAGCAACTCCCCCGCGGCTGTTAGCTAATCTTCATTGTCACTAAGCGGACAGACACATGAATTTCTAGCGTTTTGACGTAATTTTCTCCTTTCTGCCTTTCTGTTGTTGTCAAAAACAAATTGACGTCAGTTTTTCAGGCGTCTGTCCTGTTATCAACAATGAATCTCGTCATAACATTGTCAAAGTAATTTGCGGATCCCCAGCTTCCTTGACATTGTTATGACGAAATTCATGATCAATAACAGGACAGGCGCATGAAAAACTGGCGTCAATTTGTGAAGTATAGAGTGGACTCGCAATGCGCCTTTTGCAGCAGTGTTTGAACCGTTTATTTTTTAACTCGTAACAATATCAAAACCGCCTCGACCAATCAGAGCAGGAAGAAAGAACAAAAAAGTCAACCACTGAGGACTCAAATAAGATACTCGTTACGACATTCTCGCTGACCATTTGGAGCGCTGACTCTGGCCACGACATTGCGCCAACAGAAGTGGCCAAATCCTGATTGTTTAGATTTTGCATCTGGTTGTGTACATAGGTGTTGCAACTTGCAAGCGTTTTAAACAAATGAAAGAATGTGATAAAGAAAAACACACTGAAAACCGTTCCATTACTATTCAAATCACGTGTTTATACCCACGAGCCAAAAAAATGAGATTACCAGTAAATACCTTGACAATAAGTGTTACTATAATCAGAGCAAGTTCCAGTATTGCGGTAACAGCTAGCGACGCTGACAAGTCATCGTTGACGCCAAAAGATGCCGCAAAACTACTCCTGGCAAGTTTACCCAGAATGCTCTTCACGTTTTCACATTCCTCAATTTCACCTGACGGTAGAAACAAGGGAGGTGTTTACCATACATGAATATTGAAATTCAACATTTTTTTCAAAGGAATTTATTCCTTAACGTGCATATATCAGCGTGAATGATTTGTTCAGCTCAGTAATCAGGTGTCGAAATACTGGGCGCTTTAACAACGACTTTTCTGGTGGGAAACCAAATGGAACGGGCCTTTTTCAGAGGAAATCTTTTGGAAATTTTGGAATAGCTTCGGAAGTAACACTCTTTTCTCGTTTTTACTGCAATGACCAGAAAATCACTATTCCATTTGCTTTTTTGCACTATTGCTCCAATGAAATACTCAGTAGTTTCGGTGGGAAACAGAATGGAACAGTCCTTTCCAATGGAAGGTTTTCAAATACTGTCAAATGGTACACACTCATACCGTCTCATTTTTTTGTTGAAGATTTGTAGTGTTCCCTTTAGCGAAAAAAATTATCATCGGTTTTTCCACGCGAATGGAAACGCTCATTGATATGGCTCATGATACTTTTCCCGCGCTTTCCACGGTAGCCGGTTACTTGTTTCTCGCGGTTGAGCTTGTTTTCCCGCGCTTGCCACGCTTCGGTCTCTGGTTGTACCTCTATGTTCTTTGTGACAGGAAACATGTAGTTCGGTCTTGAGAGCATTGGTTTTATTAAAAAAAAAACTCGTACTTGACAGCTAATTCTCACCATCTATAAAGTCAAACTTGGTCTTCTTCACAGGAGTGATGACTTCGCGACAGACGTGAGATATTTTTACAAAGCATTTTCCTCGGTAGTTCAGACTCGAAGCTCCTGAACTGTTCAGCAATTAAAAGGTAACATAAGTATTGCAGAAGTATTGTCAAGGTATTATTGAACATCCCGCGAGAGGTGTTGGTCATGTAACTTTCAGAAGAAGAAAGTTACAGTAAGAGTTTTATGTCTAATGTTACTGTTATCAAAATCTGTTACTTCACTACTTCACCAAATCACCGTTAATTATACTACGCACGTTTTCTTCCTTTATGCTCCTATTTCCAATGAAAATTCATCTGTTTTTGCTTAAAAGGGGTGGTCAGTTTATACGTTCAAGTTTCTGTCCAGCCCCTTGGTCCTTTCCTTAGATTCGCTACAAGAATCTTACGAACACAGCACAGACGAGTAGTCAGTCTGGTTTAACGTATCATAAGAGTGTACGCAACAAAAACATCACATAGCCATATAGTTTAATTTCAGCTAGGGGAAATCACAATGTGATAATAAAGGAAGATGTCGTGTTGTCATACAAACTACCACTAGGAAATCTAAAAAAAAGGTTGATTAAAACTTCTCCCAAGTCGTCGACTTTGATCCTAAAATCGTCCTTCATCTATTTTGTGACTTTCAAGTTTTAAGTTCCAAGTGCAAGTTTCTTTATTTTCACACAAGAAAATATAGATTAAGACAGGGATTGGAAAAATGTGAACGAAAACCCACGGGTTTAAAAGATTTTACCCATGCTCTTAATATAATATTTAGCAGGAGATATTTTTATATTATATGTGACTCACCAAGACAACGGGAACTCAAGAGTCCATTTCTTGCCCNGCAAAGAAAAGAAAGCGAAAACGGGCTAGGAAATTAAATACGGAAGAAAACAGAAAAACTGAAAAAGGGCGCGAAATTAAAGACTGGAGCCGGAAGCCTAGACGGCATGGTGGATTACAACAGTTTTAAATGTTAAAACTTCTTTTGAATTGTTTCAGGTTATTGTTGCATCACTGGTAGGAAAGGAAATGAAAGAGGTCCACATTAATTTGTCTCTTCCCCTCAAATTTCTGGATATACAGCTACGCCAGATTTTTCGACTCAAGCCATGGAGTTTCCTGGCCTTGTACCTTCCAGGCGAAGATCGTAACATATTCCACACCGGTAGAACGATTTACACATCATACGAGGAAGAATTCGCCAAATTTCTTATATCAAACGGAAAAAGAAATTTCCCGAGGCCAGATAAAGGCATCGAAACACTGGGAGTCAAAGAAATGTATAAAGAATGCTGCGTTTTCAAGAAATCGCTTCGCAGTCTCGGCTTTCATCCGGGAGCTTTTGTTGAAGTGTTTGAGATCACTGGGCCGAGTATCCCGGTCATGTACTCTGGTGCGGTGACTAAGGCTCAAGTGATTGACGTGAATCCTGATTGGCCGCTACAGACATTTCTGTATTACGTCAAAGTGAACACTCCGCAAGCTGCGAAAATCGAATCTATCGACTACGTAAACAACTGTAACGAAGGCATTGTGACCGACATCTTGAAGATGATGAGAAATTTGTGGAACAGGCCTAATGAAGGAGGACGACTTGAATATGTGAGATTGCGCAGCTAAAACATAACTATAACAAGATGTGCATTTTTATAAGACAATCGTAATGGAAGATATCAAGGAGCAAATGAACTTAGTCTAGCGAGTGACTCTTCATAGATTTTAATACTTTTATAGAGTATTAGAAAATGGCCCAAAGGATGTACGCGCGCTGATTGGTTTAAAATCGTGTTTCTATTTAACAATTAGATTATGAGCTCGAGATTTCTATCGTGGGTTAGTTGACGAGGGCGCAGTCCCAGTCAACTATTACGCATGGAAATCGAGAGCGAATAATGTAATTGTTTTAGTATAAAGCTACTAGTCGTTCAAAACTTTATCTAAATCGTCTTAACAAAAACCTTTTCTATTTCCTCATTAAAAGTTTTGATACAATTGTTGACGTCGCGGTTAATGACCAAACAGTACCGACGTATCTTTGCTACTCCATCGCGAGTCGACACCGACAGTTTTTTAGGTTGTTGGAATATTTCACCGAGACTCATTTGTACCGCACCTGAGTCAAGAAAAGCCCTGTGAAGGTTAGATGTCTCAAGAACATTATACAATGGCTTTACCAGAACTCAAACTTTGCTGTTCCTCTCCAGGGTTTAGAGTACCTCGTACCAGGGCACTTTCCTCTTCAGAACCCGCTCTTCCTACATTTGAGGAAAGCGCGCTGGGGACTAGGTTGGAGTCTGGACTGGTACCAACACTAACGGAACAAAGGTTGATTTGGGTCAATAAGGGGACTAAAGAGCCAAACTGCTTTTGTTTAGAACGATAACAACTTTTAATAAGAGCAAATCTTTGACTATTCACATTTAGTCTTTTAATCTTATGAACATCAGTAGGATATTTTGAATGGTCGTATCAGTGGTCTGTAGACAAAGTAGAGTATAAACACGAATCAGCATGAAGACATGCAATGAGGGTTTACTGCGATTATCAGTTGAGTAAGCCGCGACGGAACTTTGGTGTATGACGAGAATTACGGTGTTGTCATGGGAAACTCTACTCGTTTCCAGTGATAACAATATCGTCACCTGCAATTTCGCGCGCTAGGCTGCGCATGACGTCAAAAGTCGACAAGTTGCCACTAGAAACGGAACCAGTTTCCCGTAACAACACCTGGTTGAAACCTGGTTACTAAACTTATTCATCTTTTAAACGTAGTAATTATTAGCTATCCAATAGCAATCTGCAATTTTATGACCAGTGTGAGTTAATTAGGGAGGGAGAAACAATCGTCATATATGCTGATTGACGACTGCTGTTCTACTGCAGTTTAAAACTGTGAGATTAATAAAGCCAAGCCATCCGTGCTCGAGAATTTTAGCCTGCTACTATGCCAAACGCCGTGAAAAACAATGTATTATCTACGCATGTAGACAAAATTTTAAGTGTCACCTTTCTTCCCACACAGCTTGCTAAACTTACCTTCTATCAGAAAACGTTCTTCTCATCTTGGTTCTTCTGTATCTGGTTCAGCACCTCTCTTCTTATCCACTTGATTAGTGCGAGATATTCGAACAGCGTTAAAGAAGCGATCACAAAATTCTTTTCTAGAAGAATTCCAGCCTTTAGTAAAACCGACAAACAGAACCTAAAAAATAAGTTTTTCTGTCAATTTTAATTTTTATGTGTTTAACATATTGCATATTTTAGCTCAATTTTAGAAGGCTCAAAAATGCTCTTGCGTCAGCAATGTTTTATTTTCACCTGCTCAGAACAAGTAGAAGAACAAGAATAAGGATCAGGACTTGATTTAATTTTGTAAAGCTGGACCTACCGACTATTGCATGTAATAGAAGCCTATCAGAAAGTGAAGATATCGATAGCTAATTTTACGATAACTGCAGAAATTCTCGCGCGCTCATTGGCTAATTTTCATTGTCAATATGGGGACAGACACATGAATTTATAATTTATGCGTTGCGTCAACGAGCGAGAGCGGACAATTTGACACTCGGATTTCCGAGTCAATTTGCCTATCGCCTCGTGGATCCGAAGCTTCTTTGACAACGCTATGACGAAATTCATGATCAATAACAGGACAGACGCATGAAAAACTGAAGTCAGTTTGTTAATTTCACAATAACTGCAGCAACTCCCCCGCGGCTGTTAGCTAATCTTCATTGTCACTAAGCGGACAGACACATGAATTTCTAGCGTTTTGACGTAATTTTCTCCTTTCTGCCTTTCTGTTGTTGTCAAAAACAAATTGACGTCAGTTTTTCAGGCGTCTGTCCTGTTATCAACAATGAATCTCGTCATAACATTGTCAAAGTAATTTGCGGATCCCCAGCTTCCTTGACATTGTTATGACGAAATTCATGATCAATAACAGGACAGGCGCATGAAAAACTGGCGTCAATTTGTGAAGTATAGAGTGGACTCGCAATGCGCCTTTTGCAGCAGTGTTTGAACCGTTTATTTTTTAACTCGTAACAATATCAAAACCGCCTCGACCAATCAGAGCAGGAAGAAAGAACAAAAAAGTCAACCACTGAGGACTCAAATAAGATACTCGTTACGACATTCTCGCTGACCATTTGGAGCGCTGACTCTGGCCACGACATTGCGCCAACAGAAGTGGCCAAATCCTGATTGTTTAGATTTTGCATCTGGTTGTGTACATAGGTGTTGCAACTTGCAAGCGTTTTAAACAAATGAAAGAATGTGATAAAGAAAAACACACTGAAAACCGTTCCATTACTATTCAAATCACGTGTTTATACCCACGAGCCAAAAAAATGAGATTACCAGTAAATACCTTGACAATAAGTGTTACTATAATCAGAGCAAGTTCCAGTATTGCGGTAACAGCTAGCGACGCTGACAAGTCATCGTTGACGCCAAAAGATGCCGCAAAACTACTCCTGGCAAGTTTACCCAGAATGCTCTTCACGTTTTCACATTCCTCAATTTCACCTGACGGTAGAAACAAGGGAGGTGTTTACCATACATGAATATTGAAATTCAACATTTTTTTCAAAGGAATTTATTCCTTAACGTGCATATATCAGCGTGAATGATTTGTTCAGCTCAGTAATCAGGTGTCGAAATACTGGGCGCTTTAACAACGACTTTTCTGGTGGGAAACCAAATGGAACGGGCCTTTTTCAGAGGAAATCTTTTGGAAATTTTGGAATAGCTTCGGAAGTAACACTCTTTTCTCGTTTTTACTGCAATGACCAGAAAATCACTATTCCATTTGCTTTTTTGCACTATTGCTCCAATGAAATACTCAGTAGTTTCGGTGGGAAACAGAATGGAACAGTCCTTTCCAATGGAAGGTTTTCAAATACTGTCAAATGGTACACACTCATACCGTCTCATTTTTTTGTTGAAGATTTGTAGTGTTCCCTTTAGCGAAAAAAATTATCATCGGTTTTTCCACGCGAATGGAAACGCTCATTGATATGGCTCATGATACTTTTCCCGCGCTTTCCACGGTAGCCGGTTACTTGTTTCTCGCGGTTGAGCTTGTTTTCCCGCGCTTGCCACGCTTCGGTCTCTGGTTGTACCTCTATGTTCTTTGTGACAGGAAACATGTAGTTCGGTCTTGAGAGCATTGGTTTTATTAAAAAAAAAACTCGTACTTGACAGCTAATTCTCACCATCTATAAAGTCAAACTTGGTCTTCTTCACAGGAGTGATGACTTCGCGACAGACGTGAGATATTTTTACAAAGCATTTTCCTCGGTAGTTCAGACTCGAAGCTCCTGAACTGTTCAGCAATTAAAAGGTAACATAAGTATTGCAGAAGTATTGTCAAGGTATTATTGAACATCCCGCGAGAGGTGTTGGTCATGTAACTTTCAGAAGAAGAAAGTTACAGTAAGAGTTTTATGTCTAATGTTACTGTTATCAAAATCTGTTACTTCACTACTTCACCAAATCACCGTTAATTATACTACGCACGTTTTCTTCCTTTATGCTCCTATTTCCAATGAAAATTCATCTGTTTTTGCTTAAAAGGGGTGGTCAGTTTATACGTTCAAGTTTCTGTCCAGCCCCTTGGTCCTTTCCTTAGATTCGCTACAAGAATCTTACGAACACAGCACAGACGAGTAGTCAGTCTGGTTTAACGTATCATAAGAGTGTACGCAACAAAAACATCACATAGCCATATAGTTTAATTTCAGCTAGGGGAAATCACAATGTGATAATAAAGGAAGATGTCGTGTTGTCATACAAACTACCACTAGGAAATCTAAAAAAAAGGTTGATTAAAACTTCTCCCAAGTCGTCGACTTTGATCCTAAAATCGTCCTTCATCTATTTTGTGACTTTCAAGTTTTAAGTTCCAAGTGCAAGTTTCTTTATTTTCACACAAGAAAATATAGATTAAGACAGGGATTGGAAAAATGTGAACGAAAACCCACGGGTTTAAAAGATTTTACCCATGCTCTTAATATAATATTTAGCAGGAGATATTTTTATATTATATGTGACTCACCAAGACAACGGGAACTCAAGAGTCCATTTCTTGCCCTTATCAAGCTGCTTGTACATATCAACCAGTTGTAGGGTCAATACCGCAGGCTTGCAGGTTGCGTTGATAAGAAGAATAGAAGACTGAAAACAGAGGTTAAAGAGTATAGCCATGAAAGTTAGTCTCCACAAGATAGAAGTATATAATCAATAATATAACAATTGTGAGAGTAAAATGTTCTATTTTCCATCTGAGGTCTCGAAAAGGAAGTTTTATTGGTTAGAAAGACGGATTTTGATTCAGGTTTAAAGGTTACGCCGGTGGCTGCAGTGGCTGATCTAGGGGAGGGCCCCTCTCTCCCTTATTTTGGGTAAAAAAGGGAAAAAAAACACAGAAGGAAGCAAAGCCGGCAGAGCAAGCAAAAAAAAAGATCAAGGTCTGGATCGCCACTAGGCTGTATTGTGTTCTTCAGCAAGATACTTTATTTTCAGTACTTCACACATCCCAGGTATACAAATGAGTATTGGCAAGGTTTTGCGTTGACATAGGGCAACCTTGAAAAATATCGTCGGGGATAACCTGTGAAACACTAGCAACTCAAGCCACGAAAATGCTTGCTTCTTGTTTCTCGCACTCTTCGTTAGTACGCAGTATTTGCTCGTCTGGCAACGAATTTTTCTTTGAAATATGAGTGGTAGGTAACCTTCGTTCACTTTTTTCTTTCAGTCATTCATTCAGTTATTCATTCTTGCATTCTTTCTTTTATGCAAACATTCACCTATTTGGTTTTGTTTTACGGTACTACGCTTACTGATTTGCTTCAAAACTTCGCACCATTGTCTCAACCAATCAGATGTAAAACCAAAACCAATCGTGCCTCGCCTACGGACGTTTTCCCGCGCTTCGTGCCCCCACTACACGTATTCGCTTGAGTTTTGATTGGTTCACTGTATTGTCTGCGTACTGTGGTCGCGTCCTGTGTGAATGGCCAAAGTCAGCCGGTATATATACTTTGGTTTTGGTTTTACGATACTAAATTAAAAACCGCTCTAAATACAAATTGCAGAAAGCAAGCAACGTGACCTACTTCTCCTTTGTTATACAGATTAATCTGTGTGGCTCTCAGTGAGGTTGAAGCTGAAATTGTCAGCTGACCCTGTTGATCTAAACAGAAAACAAAATATAACAGTCTCAGACTTTCATCCCGTCCTCTGGCATGTAGCCTGCGTCGCAGACGCTACATACAGCCGGTTTAACTTTCGTCTACAACCCAGGCTACTGGCATGGAGCGCTGCTGGAGGCGAGAAGAAGAGACACCCGAGAAAGAGTTGTAACATTTAAAGGTCTCGTTTGTAGCAGTTTTCGACCATTTTCCT